ATTTTGCCATATGTTATATTCAAATTGTGAGCTTAGGTTTTCAACTTACATTACAATAGCCTCCCTTTCCCTAAAAACTGTGGTCATACAACTCCTTTTCCACTTTGGTTTGAAGATTCTGTGCTGATGGGTACACAAAACATTTACATTGTTGCTTTCCAAGGTACTTCTCAATGAGATCAAACTTCAGATTGAGATACCTAAAACTAAATTTTGAAGTCAAGCGGCTTTTTCAAATCAAAACTGAGATATGATGGAATGTCCAGCAAGTACGGATCTGAGTGCACTTGAAGTTGCACCATTTATTTTCAAAAGATATTTCTCACATCAGATGACTCTGCCAGGAAGAGAAATATCAAAGAGCTCGGGAAAAGTAACTATTCTTTTATGTAATCCAAGACTGGGGTGAGGGTGGGGGGCTTTAAAGATATTTTTGAGGAAGAAAAAAAATTGAACTTATTTTGAATGCCTTGTTAGACTTTGTGTGGAGAAATGCTATATATGAGATCTTCTACGAGAAAAATCTTTGCCCTGTGTAATAACAAGACATTGCTCTCCAAATTGATATGCACTTAACTGAAAGGAAGCTCAGAAATAACTATTAGAACAGTGTCTCATTTAATTAAAAAATTACCCCACAGTTTAGTAACCTTTTGAATTAACTGTATTGCAACTTGAAATATTTTTAGTAGGGAGTTAGCCACAATCCATATTTTTTAATGGTCTTTATTCTATCCATAGTTTCTGTAGTATAATTTCAATTGGGACCCTTTTTTTCCTACCTTACTATTATCCTTTGGTATATTGTGGTTTTATACTGAATATTTGGCTTTAAAAATGATTAAACCAGGAATCAGGGTAAATATTTGGCAATATAGGGCATTGTTATGCCAAAAATAGGTTTTATTTTTCATCTATTCACTTCTCCTTTTTCATTTCAAATTGAAGATTACAAACTGAACTCTTCTCTCAGATCATATACCTCAATGATGCTAAATTATAAATCTTAATTAGGTATGATTCACTGATTATAATCTTACAAAATAATTATTCTGAGTAGGATAAAAAGGTTCCCTTAAGATTGAAGGCATTTTCATTACAATCCCCATTTTAAAATCAAACAAATACTATTAAATAAACAGTCTTATTATTCTTTTATACCTAATAGTTCATACTTTTGAATTTATATGGATAAAGAAAGAAGGATATGGATAGAGCAGTCTCACTGTTTGCAAAACTAAGTGCTTTTGATAAATTTTACTGCTAGGAATTACGTGGATCTAAGGGAATCTTTTAAATAAAAATTACAGTTTTGATTATCTAAATGGAATATGTTCTTGTGCATGTGCACAGATACATTTCTTTGTGAAGGTATTGATGTCAGGGATGCTTTTGGTATTTCTTTATGAGTAATTAGGTTAACGGGGTTAGTTAGAAAATGTATCCTTTCCTGGAAAATGAAAAATTACATTCAAGCAGAGGTAAAAGAGTAGAACATATTCATGACTTTAAGTACTTAAAAAGATATTTTATGAGTCATTTTTAAAGAATAATACCCAATATGTAACTTGTTAAGAATAATTGCCATTTTTACTTTTTAAAGCACATCTATATTAAAACTGACTTTCTGTTCATGACTCACAAATCTGGAGTCAATTTTAGGCCCAACTTACAAAAGACGTGGGTCTTATCCCCCTGCCCCTACCCTGGTATCCTACGCCACTAGTGTCAGTGCAAAGTTCTTTTTTAAAGAGAGATTTTCATTTGCATTTGCATTAGCATTATTCACAAGCTTAAGCATCATTTTGGGGGAGGAATACTGATAGGACCCAAATGTAGACATTGAGACCCTGAATGGCCTGAATCCTCGTCTGACAAACTGGAAGGAAAAAACATCACCGGCTTTGGAATTTTATATGCCTATATGAACAGTGCTTGTTCTTTCTCGGGGAAGATCTTAAATGTACTATGATTACAATGTGTTCTCTAATTGGAAAAATGTGTTTTATATAATTCTAAGAGTACCAGTGAACCAGCCCTTCATATGAATTTACTCATGGCTAGTAAGATAGCAGAATCATATTCAGAAATAAATATTTAGTCTGAGCTGGTGTCTCTTTAGAAAGAGAAAAATTCTGTACATATGCAAAATCCTTTTTGACACATGGGTGTGAAATCTCTGTTAATAACAGTTAAGCAGCTAAAATATTATGGAAAATTTAATATTCAAAGTTCTTTATTATGTTTTATTCTTGAATAAGTCTCTTAATGAGTGTATACAATGCACTAATGCTTGTTTTGTTTGTTTTTTGATTTTCATCTTGTTTTATTTTGTTTAGTGTCAAAGTAAAAAGAGCTTACGCGGAAACTATATTTTGTGCTGTTTATTTTTAGAGATACCCAGTGAGGACAGTACAACATGTGGTATGGGTTTATTTATAAAGATAAGTGAACATCTGCAATTTTACCACAATGTATTGATAGTTCATTAAAATCTAGTCTGCTACACCAAAATGTCACTAAGGTGTCATCTGGGAAGTGTTGCTGATGTATTATTGTAATGCACGTGTATACCTATATCTATGTCTTAAAAATATTTTTCTGTATTTACTAACAGCCAACTTGCTGGTGTCCTTTGCTTAGAGCTGAGGGAAAAAGGTTGTTAGCCATTTTGCTATTCACCTACTCACCAAAAATCTCGCTCTCTCAGCCATCTTCCTACTGGGCTGTTTCTTATCCACCTACCTGTGTACTGTTTTGAAGGTCTGGGTTTGGGTTTTTCTTTTTTCTTCTTCTTTCTTTCTTTTTTTGGTATTTATCTGCAAGGCTGGTTATTACTTGATCATCTAGAAAATCAAATTTCATTTGAGCCACTGGAATATGATATTTAGATCATAGGGAGGAAGTCTGAATTAATTAAGAGGATATTGGGCTAGGTTGAGGGAAAGTAAAGCAGTGTTTTGTTGTCATTGACAAACTGCCCTTAGTGAAAGACAACGCCTAGGAATGGGGAAAATAGCTAAAGGGAAAAGAAATTAGGGAAAGTTGTTGAGGCAAAGCTGAGGTTAAGGACTGTTTTAATGTGGCTCTTACTAAAAATGATATTGGCAGTTGTGTAAATTAAATCCTAATATGATACGAGAAAAGTGATCACTTAATAGGAATTACTAACTAGTGCACATTAAATAACATGCAGCATTATAATCTAAACAAATTATATTCTCCTTTTTAAAAAAATGACAGGTTCTTTACCAAATCCTGAATATATGGGATTTGTGATCATGCAAATTAAAAGAACTATTGACATTTTTCTTCCCATGATTTGAAAAAGTGTAAAAACATATGTGATTAAAGATGATTCCTATTACATTTAGACTTTTTTTTCTCTCTCAACATAATCAATTTGCTTAGGCCACAATGAAGTTACAGAAGAAAATTCATGGAGGATTGAGATATACCTTCTTTAAGGCTTCTTTTGGAAAATAATGTATTTATTGCCATAACAGGAGTTCAAATCACTGAAGTAGATAATGCTTTGATTTGATTTGAGCAAAATTTGATGATAAAGTTTGTATCCACTCTGTAAACGAATGCTAGCTGTGCCTTCATGACCAAACAAACAAACAAAACACATTTGCCTAAGCCCTCCCCTAAATTAGTTAAATGCATGTTTTGGGGGATGAGCTACTTCTTTTAAGCTTTCTGGATGACTCTAATGTAAAGTTAGGACTGAGAACCTCTTCTCTGAACCAAAAGCTTATGTATCTCAGAAGCTCATAAACTTTCCACCTTTTAAAAAATATAATTTTTTTCTGGTTTGAAGTCATAAAAATAAACATATCTATTCAGAATTGAATATAGTAATGTCATGTACTAGAGATAGATAGTTCACTATCAGGCTGAAGTTCAACAACTTATCTAGACTTGTAGGAACATTGCCACTATGCTGGTAAGAGTACCTCAGGAAAGTGACAGTGATGAAGACGAGTGTCCATAGACACAGTCCATCATAGTAGTTACCTTGGGTAAGTCATTCAACCTCTCTGAGCCTGAGTTTACTTTTTTTTATAAAAGGAGAATTGATCCAAAGACTATTAAGAATTCTTTCAATTCCTTATAATCCATGACTGCTTTGTGATGGACTAGAAAGCTTGAATAACTTGGAACCTTGCTGGTGGCCTATGGTTGATGAAAAAGATTTTTGTTCTTCTTTAAAAAGCTCCAGAAATTGTCTTGGAAACAAAGAAGAAAGCTCAAGGACCATTTATCACTTTGTTCAGCCCTTCCGAAGGGATGGTATATATTCATTAAACATGCTTATTAATTGGTTGCAAACAAAGGTGTCACCAATTCTAATATCTTAAGAGTTGATGAGTATTAGTTAGCTAATGCTTTAACCCTGTAAGATTTAAATAGACTGACAATCTGGTTAATTTAAGCAGTGGAGTTAGGAACCTCAAATATTTTTTAAAAACTACATGTATATGTATGAAGATCAGTATCGAAGTTGGATTTTTATCAAACTAGAAGCAGTCCCCTCTTTCCTCTACTTTATCAGCAACTAGTCATTGTTCACCTTCTTTTTACTCCCTGGCACGCTGTTCTCCACCTGTTGAAATCCTACCAGGACTTTAGTATCCAGGTCAAATGTTGCATCATCTATCAAGACTTCCTTGAGCCTAATTAGGATCCATTTCAGCATCTACTTAATATTCCCTAAGCACTTTTAAAATATCTCCTTTTGATCACTTACCATCTTCTTTCCCCTGCTATAGATTGCTGGGCATACGTGTTTCTCTTTTATGAAATTGTAAATTCCTCGAGAGCAGACACATCTAATTCATTTTTATTTTTAACCTCTTCCACATGTGTTTATAGTACAAGACCTCAATAAATGTTTGGTGAATTAAATTGATAAAATCGTAGGAGACTGTCACTTGGTTAATCTTTTATTAATATTACTTAAAAAAATTGAAAGATTACTTCTAAAAATATTTAAAGAACAGACTTATTAAAATTATGGATTTCATTTTAAAAATTGAAATTTCTGTACTCTTTATGTAATTTAATTACCAAAGAAGACATTATAACCCTGAAGAATAGTTTTATAATTATATACCTAAAAAGAGTTACAGCTATTAATTCTATTTTTGTATCTTTGTACAAGAGAGCATTTAGACTATTTAATAAAAAACAACATCATTATGCTATCTTTAAAATCTTATAAAACACAGATCTTTAGCTTACGTTGATTACAGGCAATATCACATAACTTATAATCATTATGCTCTATCTACTTTTTTTCCTCATATTTTCAGTCAGAAAAATATGAGGGTACAGAATTATAAACTATTAGACTTGGAAACTTCTAGAGTAACTTCTTACCAGCATAGAGTTGATTGACAGTTAGTTATTCAGCCTTTGGTTGAACATGGGAAATCAGCACCTCCTAAGGAATTTTTTCTGTTTTGTCCTTTCTCTGATAAATAAGCAGTGTGCAAATCTGTGCCCTATCAGTACTCAAAACAGATTTCTTTCCTAACATAATGGTACTTGGAGTGGTAAAAAGTGAGATGCAAACTAGTTGATCTACAATTGATAAGACAGCTTAGTTTGTCAGTGTCTTTGGTTAACATTTTAATTGGCATTTCTTTGTTCTATGTTTAGTGTCTGACACTATTAATTTATTTTTTACTAAATACTAGGCAGTAAACAATTTAGCTGGGATTATACCCAATGACCTTGCCTTCTAGGGGTTCAATTTCTTTACCAGTAGTGTTTGCATGCTTTTGGAAGGGTCAGTTTCTTTCTCAGATCTGTCACTAATGTTACAATAAATAACATTATAAAATTGTCTAAGGGAAATTCAATTTGATCAAATGTTGAAATTGTAATGAATTAGTCAACAGTATTTTACAAGGTTTCTACTTTGTATTTGTGTTTTTAAACCTAAAGATGTACTAGAGAAAAGCACTTGTTCACATTGCTTCGTGAAAGAACCCAGAAAAAAAAATAAACAGACACTATTGTCATTCTTTTAAACACATAGTTTTGCTAAGAGAATCTGTAACCTTTACTGAAAGCTCACTAGTTTTCTTCCAATTTGGGCTCTTCAGAGCTGAAAAGTTCTGGATGCTATCTTCCCACTTCATATTGAAATCTAGGTTGATCTCATACACTCTGTGGAGAAGAAAACAACTGCAGCACTGATTGTTGACCTGTACCATCACAAAGATGTGCCATTAAGTGAGCTACAATGGACAAATATTGCTTAGTTAATTGCATAAAAACACTGTGTCTTCAGCAAAGAGACTCAACACTGAAGGTCAGTACATTGTAGGGAGAATAATAAAGATTGTGAAACAATTTGTTAAAAGTAGCAAAAGCATTTTTGCAGTTTGCAACAATTAAGACCCATGTGTGTAATTCCTTTGTTAAGTTGGTTTTTCCAACCATTCAGTGAACTTCAAGTAAGTTAAACTTCTAAAATATAAATTAAAATCCATCAGACTGTGTGTAAAGACCATGAATTGTAAAGCCTTATAATGGTAGCTTGCCAAGAACCAAATTAAATCAAGGGAAGATTTAAAAGATACAGGCTTAAGATTCTGCTTGGTTTATAATCAGGAAGTTGTGGGTTTCTAAACTAAGTAAATAAAAACATTCATGCAGATTCTTCACACTTAAAATGCCAGCCATTTTCCTTTAGTTTTCTCTTGGAGGAAAATTGGGTGTTTCCTCTCAGAGGGTAGTAATGTAAGTGGGTGGCCACAAAATAGGAGCTATGCTTAGAAGTGAGTGGTCAATGGTTTATTTTGTTGTTGACCTTTCATTCTTTTTCTTTCTTTCTTTCTTTTTTATTTTCACTCCATGTGCATAGTTAACAGCTGCCAGCAATTGAATTTTTGGCTCAGTCTAGACATGGCAAATTTTGAAGACTATGAAACTTTATTTGTCCTCTTGGCTTAAAATCTGAAATTAAAAATTTTTTCAGGTGAATCCAAGCACATAACTCTGTGTGTATATGTGTGTGTGTATGTATTCGGTAGAGCAACCTGTCTATGAAACAGATGACAGTGTTGAAAGTTCTTTCACTGTGAATGGACCAGTCGGTAGCTCCATACAGACACCATCTTAGTGAACCAATTTAAATCTCTCTCCAGATTCCTAACTATGTGTCCCAAGTCTGTCTGAGAGGTGGCACTTATTTGTCCCTTAGGGGTTAGGTTTGGTTTGATATTCAGCTGAAGTCTCAGCAAACAAGATTTATGAGAAAGTAATTAAAACTGAAATTGAAATTGGATATTGAGGTACAAGTTCACCCTAAAATGCATGAATATATTTGTCACATATGCATGAAAAGAATGTTTTTAATGGATTCTTCTGATTAGAATAGAAACTAATCACAAATAAACCACTTAAAATTTGCTGTCATAATACGATTGTTTTCTTTGAGTGGCTGACCACGCCTTCTTTTAGCACTCAGTCTTTGTCCAGGGTTTAGTTTAGTCGTGCATATGTCCTTGAAGAAAGGTAGTATCTTTCACAAGATTTTGTACGAGTGAAATCAGATACCAGTTTTTATTGCAGAACCAAGCCTACAAATGTTTTCTCTTTAAAGACATTTTTAATAGAAACAGTAAGGTATAAATCATTTAAGCAATTACCTGGACATTGTGGAAATGGGGCTTGGCTTGTTCTGTAGCCCCAGATGTTTCCAGATTCTAGTAATAACCTGGTCCAGATATTTACAGCTTAATTTTCTGTGCATGTGCACTTGTCCACAAATGGCTCCTATTTCCCATTTTCTGTTGGACAACTGGGCTACTTAGAGGTAAAGAAAGTGATTTCAGCTTGGGTGAATACAAACATTAATGGTGATAATAAGTTGCTTCTAGAAACTTTGATCACTTTTAAAAAATATAGAGACTAAATTGTAGAGGATTTTATACATAGAAATAAAATAAATTATTCAAATGGCATTTTCCTTTATGGATGGGAATGGGGATGAATAACCTTCCCCATCCTCCAAAATTATATTTAGTCTTGATATACTGTGTGATAAAAGTGATTTTTTTTTTTAATGCTTCTGGCACTGGTTGGCTTATCATGCAGGCTGCTAGTTTTCTTTGCATCACTACCCCACAGGTTTTCTTCTTCTTACTAGAAACTAAACAAATGGAAAATAATGATTGGTAACCATCTGCTGTGCAGAAATTTTACATATAGCAGTTTCTCTATTTTATAAAACAAGACCAAATGAGTGAATTATACTGTTGCCAGTAAATAGCAACAAGCACTAGAGTGTTCCTTTGGACAAAGCCAGGAACACGGAGCCAGCATTTTGTTATGGGAAGTCAGTTGGTTGGGCTGTGGGGCCGCATGGGCCCAGACATTTATCTGTGTGTTTGTGTATGTGTGCGTGTGTCTGTGTATGTAAAGAAAATGACTGGTCCCTCTCTATGTTGTCCTGCGTCTCTCTTCTCTTCCCCATAATTCCGATCAAGTAAATAAAGTAATGTAGATGTAAATAAATCAGTTCAATCATATCATCGTAAATCTTTTTATTTGCTTAAAAAAATAAAGGTAAAATCCATAAAGCCATGGAGAGTAAAGATTTTTAACAGTACATAGGCTTTAAATAAGAATCGTGGTTTCCTTAGCTGTACATTTTATAATGACTAGTGGCTAGCCAGTGTAGCTTTAAATTATTCTCTTGTCAAATCTTCTGCCTAAAAACTACCTTAACCAGAAATCAGATTGAGTATACATACAAAAGATATTGACAGGCAATGATTATTCCTATAGCTGCTACTGAAGTATGGATGCTGTATGAAGAAATGTAACGGGATAGACAGAAGTAAGTGGTTACAAAGAATTTATTCAAATGAACCAAGTTAAGGCCTGATTTTATAGTTATCCATATAATCTATAATCTCTCTCTCTCTTTCTGTGTATATATAAAATCTGTTTATTATATCAATATAGTTAGACATTCAAAACATACATATTATCTCTCTCTCTAACTTTCACTTATTTGATACTGGGATTTTGCCATATAGCAAGAAAAGTTGTTTAAAATGGGCAGTATATTGAGTTCAAAGGACCCATACAGTTCATAAATTCTCTGGTGTCTACTGGATTTTTCATCAGGGAGACTTCCAATAAAAATGATCTATTTTAGAAATAATATTGTTTAGTAGGTTGAAATGTGGTGTAATAAAATTAGACCTTCAGTCTTCTAAAGTTACTACTTAGATGGCACCCTTGGGATGGTAAAATGGCTGTATAAGCAGATGAATCAGACAGTTCCACTGATGGGTACATTTGTCAGTCTCTGTTACAGATATAATATATTCTTATATCTGTAATCCTGACACTGTTACATCCAAATGAAATCAACATGAGGTTGTCATCTTTAAGCAAATATGTTAAGTGTTGTCTTTTGTGCTTTGGATTTGAAAGAAAGGGGCCCAGGGGAGGCAGCATCATGCAAATGGAACAAATCCCATTTCTTCTGAGCTGTGCTGTTTTTCCCCTCCATGGCAGCTGGCTGTGTTATCTTTGTGTGTTTCTCTGAGTGCTGACAATTCTTTCAGTGATCTAAGTTAGGGCACATTAGAAAGTGGAAGCAGCTGTCTGTCGCTATACTGAGAGACGTGTTTGCTCTACTGCAAAGATGAAGGACCATGAATCCTTGACACACTCTCCCCCCCTCCCCCCTGTACTTTCCAACATGATCAACATTCAGACGCACAGATTGTCTGCTTGGACAGTTTTTTGTTCTGACTGACAGCATCTGGCATAGACAAATTTAAAAATACATAGCATGCCATGCTTGGAATTGGAACATCCCTTTTTTTTTATTAATCTTCTCATTTAAACCATTCATTTACATTTCAAGAAAGGTTACAGCTTGATATGGTTGAAATGTTGATTTTTAAATGAATTACCTTCTAATGAAATGTCTTGAATGAGTACCAAGCAGCTAGTGTTCATTAAAAATTACACCCGATTAACACGGCCTTGAAAGCCTGAGAGGAAAGGGATTTCTTATTGTTTTAATCCACAATGCATTCCAGTGTTTACCTTTCTGGCACAAAGCGGATAGAAATGATGCCTGTAGTTGCAACACTTCTCATCTTGAACACAAGTATGATATCACCCTTAAGCCGACAGAAACACTTGGCCTTGTTTAATCAGCTTTCTTTCCCTCTGTAAACCCTCAGAAGTGTTAAAATTTTTTTTTAAAAACATTACCAAAATATGCCTCTGTCAAATCCTCTCTCTCTGCATGTTCCCCTCTTCTACCACCCAAAAATAACATGTCTCTGTGCCCAAATCTGAGGAGGAAAAAAAGCTGATGTGGATTAAACATTTGTTTGTGTTACTTTAGTAATAAAACATAACAGTAGAAAAATTGCTGTCTTTCTCTGCCCCACCCCCCATATTCACATTTCTTATTGATTCTCAATTCCACAGCCAACCTTAGCAATATGCTTGGCTAGAATTTATGTAAAAATAATATGAAAATTGGCCATATCAGTCCTTGGACTTTGGGTCCAGGAGCGAAGGTAGGATTGGGGGGAAGAGAATCCTCCTTTTATCATACCTTTTAGACTTTTCATTATCACTGCAGATTTTAGCTGTCACTACTCACTCCAAGTGTGGCTATACTAGTTCTAAGGGGTGTTTGGTGGGAGGGGGGGTGCCTAATTATAATTTTTTAAAAAAGAACTATTCAAGTGCTGGGTAGTAAATATGTAAAGCAAGTGTACTGGATAACTTGGAAACATAGGCTTCAGAGAGAAGTTCAATTAACAGTTGTAAGCAGAAGAGGTGAGGTATTTCTTCAGCACGTGTAAGAGGTCACTTGCTGTAGGATAAATTTTGACGAATTCCAGAGAGAAATAAATGCTGAAATAAAAATGAAAACAGATTACAGTTTTCTGTCAAAGGCACTTCTATATTTTTCAATATGATAGGGGGAATGACACATTTTTATTCCATGGATTACATACTATTACTTTGTAAATTTTGCTAATTTGTAAATTATAAACTTATTTTTTATTGAAACTGTTCATTTAAACAAAGTAAATCTTGGAAATGGACATTATCTTTGAATCTGGAGTCCCGTTTTACCACCCACCCCTCAACTCAGATCAGGGCTCTATAGATTGAAGGTAGACACTGTGTGGTCGCTGTTTTTCTTTTCTTCACCCCTTTCCCTCCCCCCAGAAGCTAATGGCAGGGAATCAAATTCGAGTGGATCCAGTTCCAGTGTTTTGATTGCTGGTAAATGTTTTATAATCAACATTTTAAATATAAATTACTTCCTTTGTTATTTTCCATTTTGATTTTTTTTTTTTTATGACGAGTTTTTAAAGGTAGTGCCAATGTGTATGTGTAAGCAAACTGGGAATGGGTTAAAGTACACAATTCCCTTGTGTAAAAAGCCAGGTTTAGCAGTAATGCTTTTAATCTGGACTTGTAGAGGATTCAGAAGCATCCATAGATCTGCTCCAGTAATTACCATACCCCAAGTGGCACTGGAAGAGACATTTGCCTAAAAACTTGATGTCTTCATTACGCTGTTTACATTTTAATTAGAAACATGAAAATTACTGATTCATACAGACAACTATAGTTTAAGTGGTTTCGTTCACCATCCAATAAATCATAAAAAAAAAAAGCCCACAGTTGGCATAAATAGTTTACTAGGAATCATTCATGGGAATAATGTGTTGGCACTATAAGCTGCTTAAAATATGTTTTTATTTTACCAGAGGTAGAATTTGCATATAAATTAGAGAATGGCATTTTAAGTTGACAGTCATTTATGCAGAATACCACCCACATGCAAATACATATATGGGTGTATGTGTATACTTTCCTTGGGTTTATAGGTTTGTGCCGAATCGTGGATGTGAATATATCCTCAGCCTAGCCTATCAGTTTTTTAAATATGTGTCTTCTTTTCAAGTCCTTTCAGAAATGCTGTGGGTGTTCTAAATATGCCTATCTGCAAACACATCTTTTATCTGTTGGGCAATTTCAAGTTGCAAGAAGGAAAATGTTTATTCCCTGTATGTGTATGTCTGGACAAGGAGTTGCTATTTCATTTGCTCATTCATTCCCTCTTTCATCTCTCTTCCATTCTTCCCTAACTTTTGCATGTACCTGTCAGTGCTGCTGCCCTAAACCTGCTCCCACTCCGAGCGGCTGGACAGAAGCAGGGTGGCTGTCAGAGTCCATTCCTGAGTCAGCAGCACATCCATTGCCTGAATCTTGCAACAGTCACTCATCCAGTTTTCCCCTCCCCGGGGGACAGGCGTCCTCCTCATCAGCGAGGAGGAATGACCCTTCTGTCTGGCATGCTCAAAATCCCGAATCTCCCCACGTTGGTGTGTGAGTTCAAATCCCCCCTCCTGGAGGCAGGGCTGGGACTCCAGCTAATGACTCCGAGATACAGAGGGTCAGCACACTGGTGAGCTTGAGTACTGAGGCATTGTGCGAGCCGAGTTGTACATTTTTTCCCATAACTGCAGACTCCTCTCCTTCCCTCCTCCCCTCCCCAAACCCTTTATTATAGATCAATATTATGCAAAAACGAACCAGAAATGGCCACAGACATTATAAGCCATTTTCCTTTGCGTTACCTTTGTTAGAAAGTTATTGGTCATGGCTGAAGGAGGCTTTGTTATTATTTTTTGTTTCTTTATTGTTGTTTGGTTGAACAGAGGCACACAATGAGCGAACATTTACGTGGTCTCACTGTAAACTTCACATTTTAGGGCCATGTTTATTTTGCATTTTTAGGCCCATGGGCTATAGATAAAAAATGAATTTTAAAAATATTATGTAAGGGAAAAAGTCTATGCATAGGTGTTCGACTTGAAATGCTGTAGCAGCCGTTGTTTTAAACTTTTAAATGTGAGTATATTCTGTTGAAACTCATGCTAACTGCCTGATGTGATTTCTGGCAATTAAAGTGTATAAGATCAATTGTCATGAAGCTGCTTTAGGTGATGCGTTTTGTACTCATTTCTGCATCTTTTGGTTTGCCTTTTTATAAGTTCTGGGGAATTGCCAAAGTTTGAAGATGCTAATCAGTTATTTTGTGTTGTCCTCAACATTTTAAGATTTTAATGGAAAGTCATTAGGATCATTTTCATGGTAATCGAGGTAATTGGTCTAGGTAATCAGACCAGGACTTTTAAAAACAGTTTTTAGTGCTTTGCGTATACCAGGCAGAATTCCTGAGCACTGTTAGTTAGGGTAATAGCGGAATTCATGGGCATATGGTCTTTGGTTTGCTTTGCATTGCTTCTTTTCGTGGGGAGGTGAGGGCAGGCAGGGCACTTATTAGGTCTCTGTACTTCCTAGATGTGATTAGACACAATAGTCGACATCTGTAAGGACAGAAACATGCTGCTTACTTGTATACATGGCAAAATTCTAATAGTTCTGTGCAGTCTGGTAAATCCTGTCTGCTTTATGCAGTGTGGCCCGAAACAGTTGTGTGGTGAGGGAATGCTGGCTGCTGGCCAGCCATTGACTATGAAATCCTGGGTACCTGAGAGCTTATCAGTTCTTTTGCTTTGTAAAAGAAAAAAGTGATGAAAATGTTGGTAAACTGCCATGAAGGTTTAAGGCTGCTGGAACAAGGAGCCGTGTAATCAGATTGGAAAATGGAGCTTGAGATTCTCTGCATGGAGAGCAGCCGTCTGTGGACCCCGTGAGCCGCTGTGCAAGTGCCCGAGCTGACCACTTTGTTAGCAAATCAGCTTGTTTGCTGCAGCAGCAGGGTGGAAAAGACCAGAGCTTGTGATGGTATGTAACGGAGGGAGAGCTCTTGCATGGCACAATCTAATCAGCTTGCAATTAGCTCAGGCTCTACAGTCACCTTCTTAATTTTCTTTTTTACCCCTCTTTGTGTTAATACCGTGCACTTTAAACAATTAAGTAAGGGAAGTAATTCTTCAAGCAAATCAAAACCATCCTTTAATTTTATCACCCTGCTGAAAAAAGTATCAGGTGGTCCACTGGTCTTCATCAGAGGCTGGAAATTCTCCGGCTCACTGTAGCCTAGAGAGGGGCTCTAGCCTACTGATTTTTAGGATAATCTTTCAAATATCTTGGCAAGGGTGAGGAGAAAACAGTATATCATTTAAACTAGAATCGAAGTTAAAATTGATGTGAAGGAAGAGTACAAATGCCTTTTGGTTTATATATGCTAGTAAATGCCTTTTGGTTTATATATAGTAGTGTCTCTATTTTATATTTTTAATAACTAGAAACTGGCTGTGCGTGTGCATGTGTGTGAGTATGAGAGAGAGAGAGAGAGAGAGAGAGATCTGTGTGTGTATATCTCATATATAAGATCCTTTATGCTGCTGTTTATTTAGGCATTTCTATACAGCACCTTTCTGACGACTCTGATGACATAGCCACTTGTACTGATAATTCCACTACTTCACCTCTACCGAACTTGATTCACTGAGGTTTAAAAGAACAAGGATATCATTGCTGATCATAGATGTTACTTGTTAATCCTTTAAAATAAAATTCAGATCATGTGGGGAGAGGTGAGAAGAGCAAAGCATAGATTTGCAAAATCGGTATGATAGTTTTACATTTTACTTAATTCAAGGGCAGTGGCTTCTATAATACTACTGAAACAAAAATATCTATTTGCTTAAACAAAATAAATAAATCTTCTAATAAATATCACTTAAGCTACTTTGCTGATGCAAATTTTTTCCTTTTCCAAAAAGCTTTTGCTAAAATATTTTCTATGTGCACGAATCTCTGACCAGATATGTTTATTAGGTGCTTCTCTGTCACGAAGTGGAAACAGGCATTATTTCACTAATGTGTACTTTAGAAAGCAGCACAGGTAATGATTATTTAGAATTTGTTTGTAATGGTTATTGAAAAATTAGAGGATTTTAAATAATTTTGTTTCAAAAAGTCAATTCCTTTCTGGAGGTTGTGTTAATGAAAGTAAACATAGCCATAATATGGTTGATAATTGATTACATTAATATCGTATTTGAATTCTCTCCATGCTGTCAACATAAGATTTTATTTGCCTTTAATAAATGATATTATACTATTAATAATCTCCATGTCTTATTTTGCCTTAAAAAATCTCACAGTATATAACCAAGCATCTGGACTCAGCATTTTCTTAAGGAAAAATTCAAAGTTTACCTGATCATGTATGAGTACCGTGTGAAGGATAGCATAACTTCTTGTTTTTCTATATGTCTTGCATTTTGTATTTGGAGGAATGAATTCAATTTGATGTAAAATGAGAGTAGTTAATATAAAGTACATTTAAAATTAAGTAAGCTTCTAAGTTTGCCTCGGGGTTTTGCTGGTGTTTCTGCAATGTGTCCTTTTTTTGTTTTGAACTTTTTTGTTTTTAATTAAAAAATAGATTAAAAGAAACATACATCACCTACACACATCTCATGCTGCAAAGATTCACTTTATATTCTTTTAGAGGACAAACTCCATTAGATATGCACTTACTGTACGTTGGATTGTAAATCTTACAATTTAATGGTAATTCAGTGAGCAGTTATTGCTTCAGTGGCCTTTTTTCTTTCTTTTTTGTCCCATCTCACTTGTGAAATAGGGTTACCCTTTACAAGTGTCACATCCATAGATTCATCTTTTGTACTTTGTAGTTGTTCCTGGTGCATCATTCTTAAGTTAAAAAAAAGGCAAAGCAATGGAAGAACCATGTGGTGGGTGGTGGGTGGGGAGTGTGTATGTTCAGGGGTTGTGGGCTGTGGAATGAAGGCTTTCATTCTTATGCCAGAGAGAGAGAGAAAGAGAGAGAGAGAGACCAGGATTCTAGTGACAGGAATATCCAGGAGTGTTAGCATCAGTCTAGCAGATTAATA